AAATTATATCAGCCACATCTTCCATGCACTCAATAAACTCACCATCGCAATATGGTTTTGAATGTTTGGCTATCTTGTGTGCAACCACATAACTGGCTTTGACAATAGAATCTGATTGAATCAATACTTTTTAAAAATAATTTTGTTGAGATGATAGATTTTTTTTCAGTTCAGCGATTTTGTCTTTACAACACATTCCTTCAAACACAGCAAATTTCTCAGTATGTCTTGTCATGTAATGCCTTTTCAAATTGTAGTCTTTGAAAACTTGCACTATTTCTTTGCAAATTAAGCAGACTGCTTTACTATTGTACTCAGCAAAAAAGTATTCATCTGTCCACTTTTCTTGGAACACTCTTCCTTCATCTGTAATTTTTCTTTTTTTGTGTTTGTTTTCATTTTTTGACATTTCAGAAGCCATGCTGGAATGTTAAAAAAAAGGACTTTTAGAAAGCTTGGTTTAATAATCAATGTAATTACTGCATTGTGCAGCAACCAGAAGATGACATGACTGTAAAATAAAACAGCCCCCCACAGCTGGGTCCCTTGGCCAGGGGTTATTTTTAAAACCTGGATGACCTAAATATACATATAGTAGCTGCTGAACTGCTGAAGTACAAGTGTTTCAGATTCTTGGTCTGCAACAGAAAGAACTTCAATGCACTACTTTTATGCATTGCATTATCTGCTGTCTTGCAGCAATAGCCTCAATATATGTGGCATTGTGCCAATGTCAAAAGACTAGAGAAAAACATGCTCAGTGTATTGGGAATCTGGTTGCAGAACTAGAGGTCACAAGATTAGTTCCCCACCATGGCTCCCAGGAGAAGAATCAGCCTTTGTTGCAGTTCCAGAGTCCCCACCCCACCCCAACCCTCGGAAGAAGGGAATGGTAAACCACTTTTGACTTGTATATAACTTCAAAACCCTGAGAAGGGTTGCCATGAGTCAGAATTGACTTGATGGCATATAATTATTAATTGATGCTCACATAGCTTCTTATATACTGTACTTTGCCACTGCCTTCTGGCTCAGTATGGATACAGCCATCTTTGGTTTGAAACTATATGTGGAATTCATATATGGGAAATTCAAAAGCCCTCTCCACAGGGCTTCTGTCTCGTGCGCCCCACGTTCTCTCCGCGCTGCTCCCCTCGCAGCCGGGCTGGAAAGTTAGCAGCACGGAAGAACAGGGTTGCAAGAGACAGAGCGAGGGAAATTCAAAAGCCCTCTCCACAGGGCTTCTGTCTCGTGCGCCCCACGTTCTCTCCGCGCTGCTCCCCTCGCAGCCGGGCTGGAAAGTTAGCAGCACGGAAGAACAGGGTTGCAAGAGACAGAGCGAGGGAAATTCAAAAGCCCTCTCCACAGGGCTTCTGTCTCGTGCGCCCCACGTTCTCTCCGCGCTGCTCCCCTCGCAGCCGGGCTGGAAAGTTAGCAGCACGGAAGAACAGGGTTGCAAGAGACAGAGCGAGGGAAATTCAAAAGCCCTCTCCACAGGGCTTCTGTCTCGTGCGCCCCACGTTCTCTCCGCGCTGCTCCCCTCGCAGCCGGGCTGGAAAGTTAGCAGCACGGAAGAACAGGGTTGCAAGAGACAGAGCGAGGGAAATTCAAAAGCCCTCTCCACAGGGCTTCTGTCTCGTGCGCCCCACGTTCTCTCCGCGCTGCTCCCCTCGCAGCCGGGCTGGAAAGTTAGCAGCACGGAAGAACAGGGTTGCAAGAGACAGAGCGAGGGAAATTCAAAAGCCCTCTCCACAGGGCTTCTGTCTCGTGCGCCCCACGTTCTCTCCGCGCTGCTCCCCTCGCAGCCGGGCTGGAAAGTTAGCAGCACGGAAGAACAGGGTTGCAAGAGACAGAGCCCTGGCTTCCCAAGTAGAAACTCCGAAGTTTCTACTTACATTCAGCCTTTCTCCCTGCTTGGTCGGAAAACCCAAAGCCTGGCAACTGGACGGATGAACCACCAGCTGACTTCCTCTCTCACTCTGGGCACCAACAGTGTCGAGCAGCTCGGCTACCCGCTTTCCCCCACAGGCGCTGAGTTAGCTGTGCCGCGGGGTGGATTTGGCGCCCAACACACACACTCCGTGGGCGGGCGGGCAGCTCCTCCCTCTCCGCCTTCACCTCTCTGCGTCTTTCCAGCTCAGGCTGACTGCCCTGCTGCACTACAGCTTTCTGGCTCCAGGACTTGCTGCTCTGCCTGCCTCCTCTTTTTTGCACAGCATTGTGGGAGGTGTGGAACCTTCACTGGGCCGCGTTAGGAGCCGACCTGGGCCGCATGCGGCCCGGGGGCCGCGCGTTGGACAAGCCTGATTTAGATCTTCTCTAATGTAGGTTTGTGTATCTTACAAGGGGATGTGAAAGCTTTCATTCTTGAACAACTAATCAAAAGCTATATTTTAGCATAAGTCTTGCTGAGTTTATTGACTCTGAGAATAGACACCTGCCGCATAGAACACCCATTGTTGTTTTTAGTAAAACAAACTTCTTAATTAAGATGGTACATGTAATTAATTAGCTGTAGCTG